TGGATATCGAATTATTATTTTTTTGTCTATTTGGACAACCAGAAAGTGTAAAAAATTATTTAAATAGTTCTGGGATATTGGGTCCATAGAATATTTCATTTTAATTTTCTCTATAAAAATTTCCATAGTGTGCATCATTTATTTAGAGAACCTACTGTTTCAAGATAATGTGCAACATATCCACTTGAAGAGATAACTGCCTTAATATAGCATTAAATTTAGTTGAATTTATACTACTTATTCATCCTTTGATAACTTTGTTTTTTTTTAATATATTCCTGTTAATGAGATGATGGAACATGATGTGAAGGTACGATTAAAATTATTACATATAGTGTATTTGATCATACCCTTATGGATGCATTTTTTTGGACTACTTACAATTGTGTAATATTATTTAATTTATGAATAGAAAAACTATTTGGTAAATGCGAAATGTTCATATTTAGAGTATAAAGAGGATAGATTAGATGCGATATTTATGAAATATTAACGAAATGTTAGAATAAATATATTTAAATTTAATGGGTTGTTTATAGTCTAGAAATCAGTAACTTATTGAAGAGCAAAAAGAGCAAGCAGCTATGAATGAAGAAGATAAGAGTATAGTTTAATAATTTATATGATAGATAACAAATTAGATTTAGTGAGTTGCTCATTTACAGAGAGCAAAAATAGTTAAAATAAAACTTCAAATAGAGTTTCAATAGAAGAATGTAGAAATTCTTTTAATCAAAGTATTGATATGATGCAAGATATCAATAAAAAATTGGAAGCATTTTCTGGAAATGATTCAGACCTATCAGATAGTGAATTGCAATGATATTAGTATTTGATAGGGCATTCCCTGTTGATAAATATAAAAATAACTTTCATGATTATTATGAATCAACTATCTCTTAATATTTTTTGATACTAAGATTGATATTTGCCAATTATAATGAAATTGCTCCATCAGAGAATTGATTTAAAGATTCATAAATTGGTTTAACAATTACTTTTAAGAATCCAACTTCATTTTTGGCATATTAAACATCATCATCAAGATTTCTGAGATATGGAGTCTAAGCGATACCTACAATATCTTCTAATTAAGACTTTAAAATTATATTAGATCAAATTTACTTAGGCTTAAAATTCTCTTCTTAATTTTTCACTCCATTATCTTGAAATTTAATAAGATTTAGCTGCTCCAAAGAAGTCGGCTGCATGAGTTAAGTATCCACTTAATAAAATTTTATTTTCTTCAGATTCTAATATATATAAATTCTATATACAAAATATTTTAGGATCCCCTTAAGACTAAGCAAATCTTATTTCAATATCATTTGATAATTTAAAATGATATTAATTATCAGTGGCTAAAACATTATTAACAATATATTTTCTAATCATTAATTTATCTGCTCTAGGCAAAGCAACTAAAAAATCACATTATTTTAGAGCCAATAATTAATAAGTTACTGCTATATGATGATTCTCTAATACTGATTTATCATTATATATCAAAGTTAATTTAGTTTAAGCATTTATCTAAAATAAATTATTCATTCCAGGATGTCCTACATCATGACATAATCCTCCTAATGTCATTGCATATCTTTATAAATCATTAAAATATAATCCAAATTTTTAATGATGAGCAAAAAGAAAACATCCATGCATTACATTCACTCCATGAGTAAAATTATGAAATGGATTTGATGTTTTATTATATTTGTATTTTAAAGCTGTCAAAAAATTTATAAACTCCTTATTCTTTATGGGATATTATTTACCATATTCACACATATCAAATATATTATACACTATTGTAAACTTATTCTTAAATTATTTCTTATTTAATAAATTGAATTCATAATCCAATAATTTTTATTATAAATTAGGATCTATTGAAATTTAACGTCCTTCTGGATTTTTCTTATCCTTTTCCTAATATTTAGCTAAAATCTATTCTAGTTTCTTTTATTTCTTCTTCATTATATAAGCTCTATATTTCTCCAATAATTAATCATTATTATTATAAACACGAGTTAATCTTCTCATATCATTATCTGGTAAATACATTACCAAAGCTGATTATTAAAAAAACTAATTTTCCATTATAAGTTGCTTTTATTTAAATGCCATTGTTGCCCTCTTAAGTGTTAATAATATTTTCACCTTTCTTCGAAATATTTATAATAATTCATTAAGTGGTCTTATAAATTATAAATAAGATACCTTTTCAATTACATATTAAATAAATAAACTGAAATTTACTTTATTTCTTATTTTATACTTCTCTCAACTTTCATTGAAAATTTATAAAATCCATCATTAAACTCCAAATGATCATTTTTAGATTCAATTAATTCTTTTACTTTTAAAATTATTATTTAATTTTTCTCAAATATTTTGTAAATTGCATCCCCATAATTTATTTCTTTAGATAATTTAAATCGAGATCTAAATTTAGTTAAATACTTTACACAAATTAATCGTGATTCCATTGAACAGTTATATAATACAACTATAAGAAATTGTTAAAGAATAAACACATAATCATTTCATTATGTTAAGTTACTTATTAGAAAGATTCAAGCAAATTCTTTTTCTATTTCAATTTTTTACTATATCTTTTTATACTTTTCTTAAATGTGCTCTTTATCTTTTCTTTTAATTAGTCTGAAAGATTCCCATCTAAATCTATACTAACAAAATTCCATTCACTTTTGAAAATTAACATTAAATAATTAGTCAATTCTTATTTTTAAAATTATTCATTATCATTTTGACTAATAAAATTTGGCAAATTAAATTATTTCATTATTTAAATCAAAATATGAAATACTAGTTTGTAAGTTTAAAGATATATTGTTTATGAAACTATTTGCAATATTTCCATTCTGATAGCCTAGAGTTTTTTTAATATTAATATTTAGCATCCTTATTTCAAAATAGAAATGATATGTTTATAGAGTTAAGTAATCATAAAATATTGTTTAAATTTGCTATTCATTTTATCAGCAAATGTGAAAAAAAATACATCTTTATTTGATATGACAAAATATTATGGTAATTTTTCAATTTTCAATAAACTAAAAAATTCTGATGAAGTCTTTATGAATTATTGAGAGGATTATGATTAAGTGAATTATTGAATATCTTAAGCATTTTAAATTATAATTGATTCAAAACTATTTGTAAGAAAATGATATTGATTTTCGTTAAAATGTACTAAGCTAAATTCTTGAATATAAAATTGCTTAAGAATCAATCTAATGAGATTCTTAACTTCCTGTTATTGAGCTAGAAAACATTCTTTATAAATATGATTGATATCTTGCTAAGATAAAAATTAAATTCGATTTACCTTAATTTCACGATAAAACTCTTTAATTTTGCTTTTGAGTTATTTGGAAATAATGATAATAGAATCACTAATAGATAAGTGAATAAACTTACAAATAGGATTTAATGATATTTTCATTACCATTTTAAGTAATAAGCATTTTGGAAAGTTGATCAATAAGGTCACTCTATGATAAACCATTTTCATATGAATTAATTAATTGTTTTAATTGTGGGTTATCATTGGCAGCGTAATCACAAAGTCTAGAGTATTAGTCAGGTGTAATTAAGGCTTTGGATTTAAGTTAAATTAATAAGAAAGTTATTCGACTGGATTGGGATAAATAACTCATTTAATCAGATAAAAATAATTAAGAAGAGATTTTTGTATTTATTTATCCTTATATTAATAGTTTTAATTTGGAAACAAACATATAAAATAATAGTATATATATATTCATGATTAAATAACAAGAGATTATTTATTAGAAAAAGAATTGCCTTGAACATCATTATGTTCAATAATAGATCTTTTAATGAAATCTTTAGCCCATTGTATATCATCTTTTAATTCAATAACTTATTTCTAATATTTATATCCTTTCTGTATAAATTCTTTATATTCTGGATTGAGTTCTTCATATATATTTAAAAGTTAAAATAATAGATTTCTAGAGAATTAGTAACTCTATATACAAATATAATATATAAAAATATACTTTCTATAGATTTTCAGGTGCTAATATTTTAAATATCCAATTTGTATCAAAACATTTAGTAATTGAACTAACTTTCCCTCCAACCATTAGAATTAATCTACTGACTTGTAAAATGAGAGTTACAAACAATGATGTTATCTATATTCTTTTAAATTATTTATATTACTAAAACTAATGGGAATATCCAATGTGAAAATTTTGAAAACATCACAACTGTCAACGATTATACTAAAAATGTGACAACAAAGCAGAACTTAAATACTGAGTATAAAATTGGAAAATAAATGAAGCTATCTAATTATAGTACATTTCTAACCTAAATAAAATACGTTTACTCCTAATAAAGCTGAAATTATACGGGCACTCAATACTACTGCAAATGCTGCTCCAAATGCTACCACTTCAAGTAATGCGTATAATAAATAACTAAATAACAATAGAGAATCATATTTGAAAACTGTGTCATAATAAATTAGAACAAGGTAAAGAGCTAATGCTTTTGTTGTAAAATTTAAGAATGTCATAAATATTTCTATCTTCTCTATTTTATCTAATTTATCTAATGTATCATTTAACATAGCCTAAACATCTATATATTCTGCCTTATGAAGATCTTCATTATCAATATCAATTTGATTGCCATCCCAATCTTTTCCTATTAAAAGTTCTTAATTATCCTTCTCTTTTTTCATTAAAATATTTATAAAAATATCAAATTATTTATAACTTATTCATTATACACTATTTTATATAAACTATTAAAAATTAAAATCAATATTATTTTATTTTCTTGATAAACTCAATATCTTATATTTTATTCATCTCTCTTAATCTAGAAGACCTCTTTTATGATAAATCAAAATAATTGAATACTAATTAAAATGATCTCTCAATTAAAAGTATTATTTAATAATTTATTCTGTCATTTTATAGATTTAAGTATTTTAATTTAATATTCATATTCTCCTTTATAATTCTTTTATTCGAAATTATACTCTCCTTATTTTAAAGGTTAAATCATGTTATTCTTTGTTAATTAATTAACGTCTTTTTTAATCAAAACCAAAATTTATATTATATATCTTAAAAAACTTTATTCTAATTTTAATCCTTGTCTATATTCAAATAAATTTTGTATAATTATATTTTTTATCAAATTAAAATAACTCTGTAAAACTATTTAGAGAATCCTAAGAAACTTGTACTTTTTGAGTTTCTTATTTTTTTTTAAGTAATGTTCTTTAACATATATTTGAATATTCTAAAAGAATAGTTATCAGAATGATAAGAATTCACCCTATCTTTGACTTCTAATCACACTGCAAAAATATAAAACATTTTATATGAGATTAAATATTATTTTAATTTATTTTGGAAGGCAATATTAGTAAATAAAAATATCGATTTTAAGATTAGTTATATATCACTTTTCTAATAAAAATATTGATCATCAATTGAATGTAAGATAATTTCTCTAGATTTTAGTACTATTATAGAAAACATTGTTTACAAATTTCTTGACTTCATGTCTATATTACTATATATTCTTTGATTCAATCAATTTATAAGAATAAATTATTAAAACATTATAATGTCATCTTATGGCATTAATAATATAATTTAAAAGAAACCTATAGATAATATTCTTAGCTCTTAAATTGAATAATTAAAATAATTATTGCATTAAATGAAATACTAATATAATATTAATGATAAATAATTGCTGTCATTAGAAAATAGGTTATTTGATAGAGTAATCAAAAATTTAGGAAGTTTGTGATATTTGCAATGATATTGAATGTATTGAATCTCATAAATTTATCCTAAAAACAGATTTAGCAGATTTCACAAACAAGGCTTAACCTTTAATTTAATAAATTCTAACAATATTATATGAGAAACTACCGAGTTAAATAGAAATGCTTATCGAAAGTATCAAATCATAATATTCTGAAATTAATAAAGTCTCTCAGAAAACATAATTAGAAAATTTAATTTCCATTTTGCAAAATCAAGATTAATAATATTTATTTCAATTAATTAATTTTTATATAACAAGAGATTAAATAAAGGTAATAAAGGAGAAATTGAAAGAAATTTAAAATTTCGAAAACTTAATCTAAAGATGTTTATCATAATTTAATTCGTAGTAAAATATGAATTAAGAAGTATAAACAATAAATTTTGAAGAAAATTAAGATATTATTAACACCCCAAATAAAATTAAAGAATAAAAAGATTAATTAAAATAAACAAACTTATTAGAATAAACAGATCAATTAGAATAAACAGATTAATTAGAATAATTAGATCAATAAGAATAAATAGATTAATTAGATTAAACATATTAAATTTTGATAAAATAGATAGATATACCAATTTTAAGTTAAAATTATGTTTAAAAAGTAAATAACTTTGAGATTCCAACAACTTTTAAATTTAAGCGAATGTATAGTATTACATGGTTGAGTGAAAATTTATTAGGAATAGCAGCAGGTGATTACAATCCATTTATAATATTTGATCCTTAGAAACAGATTATTAAATAATATATTTATTAAGAGAAGAATGGAGTTTATGATTGTATTTAAATAGGAAATAATAAAATAGTATTAGCATATGTACATAATATAAAATTATTTGAATTGGTAAATAATTAATATGTAGCAAATAAAATGGAATTTGAAGAATCATAAGGAACTCCAAGTAAATTATATTATTGTGAATAAACTTAATCAATATTTGCAACAAATACATTCTTTTAGGTAATTTCTTAAAATTATGTATATTAATGGAAATTGAATTCTGGCAAATTAGTTAAGTATAAAATATAAGGTTCAACTTTTGGTCCAATGTGTTTAATAAATAGAAAATCAATGTTTTGTTTTAGTTTGTATGAATTAAAGGGTAGATCTTAAAGGCAAAATTTAATCTATTTTTGGTAATATGAATAAAATGCTCCTTTAAAAAAGATAGAAACACCATAACCTTAATATGCTTTGTTAATTAGATTAAATTAATTATTTGGATTTGGATCTGAGATCACAGTTTGGAATTTAGAAAATTATCATTAAATAAAAAAGATAACATTTCCTGATAAAAAGTTAAGTCCTTGGTGTGTATGTTTAAATGAAGAATCTGTAATATTAGGATGTGAAGATGGACGTATAATATTATATATGACTATAGATATATGGATAACAGATGAGTAATTTAATAAATGGGATAAAATTATGAAATTGAGAGCAAAGACTATGAAGATTAGTATGTATAAAGAAAAATGTGTGATAACTGCATTAGATTGTAGTTTCTGTATTCTTTAGATAAAATAATGATATAGCAAATATATATATCAAACATCTTATCCACTTGAAGCTACATTGAGTATTTAAAACAAGGCTTTCATATAATAAATAATATATATACCTGATCCAACAACTACAAACAAGAATACTCCTAATAATATTGGACCCACTGGTAAATTTTCTTCTTTTTTCTATTCATATTATCATACAATTTATATTACAAGTAATGATTTTGGAACTTTTCCTTATTTATGAATGTTTTCTTTATAATTATTGCTTCTCAATTTCATAGTTTAAGCAGATGGCTACAATCTATAACAATAAGTACCATTTTTAATCTATTCTTGTTAATTATTTTTATTAATCAAATCACGCGTGTAATTAGTATATAATATAAATTTAATATCTATAATTAATAAAATTTATTCATGAGCTTGTTGTAAAATAGCATAAGTAAATTTAGAAAATCTTCATAATTTAAAATTTTCACTTTTTGAAATAAATACGTATGAATCTTGAAATGAAGGCACAACATAGATTTTATTATAATAAATATAAATTAAAATTCTAAGTAAGTATTGAGATAAATGAAATTATATATACATAATATTATTGATCTGCTTTATATTTATAATTTAATTTGAAGAATAAGAAAGCAAAAAGAAAATAATAATTTTTTTTTGGTATGTAATGATTATTAATTGCTTATATCAATCTGTTTCTTATAGAAATCCTGCATCTCTTTTAGGGAATGCATTACATGAATCAACATGAATTTCGCTAAATTTATTAAAAATATTATAATACAATCCAGTTCTACAGCTCCAAACATCATGTAATTTTTCATCTTATAAACACCAATGTCTTTAACAACATTATGATTTATGTAATCCTGCACAAACATGTCCATCTGCTCTTTTACAATCTTTATGACAATCATTATTTTCAATTGATGATCTTACCCATTTTTTATCGTTACTAGTAATGGGTGGAGCCATTGTTGCAGAAACTATTGTCACTATCAATAGAACTAATATTAATCTCATTTTCCGTTTTTATCTAAATTAATTATATTATATATATATTCAAATACTAGATGAGTTCTCAAAACATCTGATACTTCAAAATAATTACATAATATCAAATGAGATAATAGTATATATTTTTTACCATTTTGTCTATTTTTGATATTCTCAATTAAATTATTTTATTTACAACAAATGAACTTGTGGATCCTCTCTTGACATATAGAACTCCTAAGATAAATGTCAAAAATTATATAAATAGTGAAAATATCTTTCTTAGCATCATTACCTTTTTGATGGAATACTATAAAAAAATGCATTACTAACTCGGATCAATCGAAAAAATACTAAAAAGGTAATACTTAATCAACTACAAAGCAAAATCTATGTATTTCTTCTTTTTAATAAATAATTTAACATAAAATATCTATTATGAATACAAATACTCCAGAAACAATCAAAGCGACAAAATCAAATAGTTCTAATTCCGCAATTTTTTATTTCACCGTTGAGAAAATCGATTTTAATGATCCTACAAAAATGTTAAAATTTAAGACGCAATTAGCACATTAAATCGCTAAAAAATGAAGTAATATAAGCTATTTATCTTTTAGACTTTTACGAAAACCATTTCCAATTTTGATCTGATTATATTATGATGATCAGATAACATATTTTATAACATATAATCAACTATTCTTATCAACATTGTGCTGTTTTTATAAATTTCTTAAATAAAACTTAGTTGTTGAGTTAAATGAAACAATTCACTACAAAATCACATCTGTAGAATTGATATTAGTTCTAATAAGTAATTTAAATACACCTCAAATATATAGGCAGAGATAATTAATATCTTAATAATTGAGAAGAATCTACTAGCTATTAAACGGTTTATATATAAATATAAAAATGTTGGATGGATGTATATGAAGTTGTGACTCAAACAAAAATGTTTAAAAAAATTCATATAAATTTTTAAATAAATTTATGATTAATGTTACACAGATATTTAAACTATATAATGTTTATATAATTTCTAATCTCTTTAATCAAAAATAATAAAATAATAATCTAATCCATTATAATAAATACACTTATAATTAATAAATATTTCAAAAAATTCCATGAGTGCTTTAAAAGCCATAGTTACTTTAGACACTGGTGATAAACCTGAATACATTCATATCTATGAAGGAGATGATATTGAAATGCTTGCAGAATTTTTTTGTGACAGACATAATATTCAAGAGGATGGAAAATAATTTATAATTGATCATATAAGAGATCAATTGAAAATTTAAGAAAAGCAAACCAAATAGAAATTTGTATCTCAATCAAATTCATTAAAGTAATGTTAATCATAATCTGCATTTTTAAAATCTGCATAAGTTAGTAATTAATTTTAGCAATTAATTTAGAAAAAAATGAATATGAAACATTACACAATACAGTTTGGGGATAAATTTAAAAGAAACCATCTACAACATAAATACATTAAAGAAATTCTAGTAATATTATACTAAATGGATAAAAGTCTTAGGGAAATTTGTTATTAAAAAAAAATACATTAAAGAATGTCAAATGTGTGACAGATATTGAATCTAATATAAATATTTAGTTACATCCAAAAAGATCAAGATAAGAACAAATTGATTTAGCAAATAGATTAATATCATAAAAAAATTAATCAGAAAAAAGATTACAATAATTGAGAATTGAATCAAATTCACCTATATCCCATGATTTTAAACCTAAAGTAACAAAAGATAATATTTATAAAAAAGTAAGCAAAAAAATTGATTAAGAAGATTATGAATTAGCATAAATGATTGGAATACAATAGAAAAAAAAAATATATGAATTCGCTTCGCAAAAGATTTAATTAAAATAAGATTAAAATATATTGAAAAGAGTTTTTAATCAACTTGATAATGATAAGGATGGATAAATATCAAGTCAATTTATAAATTTAGATATTGATCACTAAATTTTAGAAAAAATCAAACCTGTATTATGTCATATGGATGCTTAACATTTAATATTGGATTTGGATACATTTTCAAATTTAATGAAATCTTTTTAAATTTTGATATATTGAAACTATTATTTTAAATATAATATCTTTATCATTAAAAGGATTTTCAAAGAACGTTTTCAATAAATAAAGAAAAAAAGATAATTCAAATATTTATAAAAGTTAAATTAATGACCATTTATTCTATTTTAGTTATTTTAAGATCCTTAACAGTAAATTAAAATATTTATTATATTAAATTATAAATTTCTGATAGTTCAAGAATGTACTCTAAATGATTTAGTTTAACCACATTCGTTAAAATAGAAAAAGTACTTTAAAATAGCACAATCTTGTAAGGAGAATAATAGTTTAAATTAAATCTAATTTTTTTTATATAAAATAATAAATATGAAAATATCTCTAAACAAATCCATTTCAGTTCAATGTAATTCATTCAAGATTAATTATGTGATTTATTGTCTGTAGATATAATTTTTAAATTCAGTTAGTTTATAATAATGGGCTTTTTTAATGTTATAATGAATTAAGTTTTTATTTTAAAACTAAATTTTTACTAAAATCTTTGGATAACTTAAAATACTGAGAAAATTAGAAAATTAGAAAAATATGTAATGAAATTGATCAATTTCTATAAAATTATATCTTATTAATCATGATGACGGGATATATTTTGGAAACTAATTTTTATTATTATATAATATTTTATAGCTTTCTATACAAGATTATGAAGTACTAAACTACTATAATACTCCTCCATAGTAGTTTGGATCTTTTATTTTAACTATAATATTAGGAGCCATAAGAACCGATTTTATTTCATAAGGTATTCTGGTTACTCTTTTAGTTTACTCTCCTTTACATATTTAAAATAATTTTCCAGAATAATTACATTCGCTATAAAAATTAACACAAGGAACAGAAAGTTTCAAAATAAAATCTCTAAATCCCCAAGATTCTTTAATTTTTATTCAAAATATACCATCCCATAAACTTTGGTCGAAATTATCTTTTAATTTTATTGTTAAATCAGTTCCATTCATTTAACATTTAACTGAAAAAGATTAACAAATATCTTCCCATAAATTTCTGCATGTGCTAACACCAAGAGAGGCTATTTAAATTATACTATCGATTTGAATATCATTTGCATAAATCTCAAAAACTTCTCCATCCCAAGAATCTATTTTCCATATCCCAATCTAAAGTTCCATTTAGTTATTTGGAGGAAAATTTGTAATAGTCAAAGTTACTGATGTTTTTAAACCATATGGTCCCATATACAAACTTTTAGGACCTGAGCCACATCTGGCTAAAGTTGAACCACTTGATCCAACAACTGAAAAATCTGTATATTTGCAATCCTATTCATCATCAGTTATACAATTTTGGTAAACAATAGAATTAAGAAAAAATATTTTAACAAATGAATTCATTAATATTAATATTAAATAATGATTATCTAAGTTAATTTTATTTGTCCTTCAAGAAAAAGATATATTTTAGTGGGTTGAAAAAATGATCTTATAAATACAATAAAATAGTGGGAGATGAGTTTAATTCTAGAGTCTTCTTTGAGAAAAAATTGTTCCTTTTTTCCATTACATCATTTTTCTATTTAATACTTGTCTACATTAATTTTTTTCAAATTGCTTTTCAAAATTTTTATTAATCCTCTGATTCTACTTACTTAATTTGTCCTAAAATTTTTAACAGTTTTTTAATAATTATTAGAATATTTTGGTAGTTTTAACTACAGTTATCTATTTTCATCTATTCCAATTATCATTTCATTAATCAAACTTGTGATAAATATTCTTTTTATTTTGATCTGATAATTTCAAACCACTTACATTACTTTAAAAGATAAAAATCAAATTTGAATATAAATTTTTATGCAATTATTAATAATAAGCATTTGAAAATCAAAATGAAAAATGAAATCTCAATGAAAGATGTTTTCTTATTTATTTTTTGTTGGTTTTAAAATTATTATTGATGACATTATATTTTAAAAAAACAAAGAATTTTTGATATGCCGTTAAATATTCAATAAAAAAAGTATTTTATATTCAATCGAGGTTAAGATTTGATCTCATATATGCACACATTAAAATTTTATCAAATGAAGATCCAATCACAACTAAAATAACATTTAATATTTGTTTAGAAAATTAATTCAAATTTAAAATAATTATATAAACTTGATTTTACTGACTATATTTTAATAGATAAAATTTCTTAGAACAATTAAAAGTAAATAAGAAGGAATAAAATTATATAGAAGCAAGATATAATTAATACTTTAATAGTGTTATAAAATGTATTTATGAATATTAGATAGAATAAACTAAGAAAACTTAGATTACTTTTCATATTCTTTAATAATAAAAATATTAAGATAAGATTTCTAATTAGGATTAAAAATAATATGGTTGTTTTTTTAGGAATGAATAAAGTTAAAGTTAAAATGAGAATTGTTAGAGAATTCATTTATTTTTTCATATATGAAATTAAATAATTTTACTAAATAATAATAATAATAATGGGTGCTTGTAGTGGAATATGTGGATAGAGTAACACTGATCATACAATAGTTAATGGAAATCATGTACAACAATCAGATGTGGAATAATAAATAGATTAAGGTTTAAAAGGATCAGGACATTCAGTTAGATAATCTCAACAATCTTCAGATGTGAATGTTGGATAAATGCACTATGAGAACGATCATTATGAACAATTAAAGAAATCAAATTAGAAGTTTGAAGAGATAAAAACTTAATTATAACATGATTCTTTTCTTGAGAAATGTGAACCTGTAACACTGGAAACAGGAGCAATATATACTGGATAATGGAAGGATGAATAAAAAAATGGTTGGGGGAGGCAAGTTTGGCCAGATTAATCAGTATATGAAGGAGAATGGGTTAATGATAAAGCTTGTGGAAGAGGTAAGTTAATTCATGCAGATGGAGATATATATGATGGTGAATGGGCTAATGATAAAGCTAATGGTTTTGGAAGATATTATCATAGTAATGGAGCAACATATTAAGGATAATGGAAAGATGACAAGTAAGAAGGATTTGGTGAAGAAACTTGGCCAGATGGATCTAAATATAAGGGATAATATATAGATGGTAAAAAACATGGAAAAGGAAGATTAGAATTTATTGATGGTTCTTTTTATGATGGAGAATTCTAAGCAAATGATATTCATGGAAAAGGTATTTGATTTATTAAAATTAAATATAGGATTGTATGTTTGGGCAGATAAAAGACAATATAATGGAGATTGGTAAAAGAATAAAATGCATGGATATGGATTAACTAAATGGCCTGATGGTAGATCTTATGAGGGAGAGTAATATATTTTATATTAATATTATTAGATATAGAGAAGATAAAAAACATGGACATGGAACATTTATTTGGAGTGATGGTAGAAAGTACATTGGATAATGGATTGATGGTAAATAATAGGGAAAAGGACTTTTTATTAAAGCTGATGGTACAACTAAAAGAGGAGAATGGGCAGATGGTAAAAGAATTCGATGGACAGATTGATATTTCATTTTTTATATATCATTTATTATTAAACTACTCTTTATTTCAATTTATCTATTCTTAAACTTAATATTAATATCAACATTTTATAATCCTATATATATTATATTTAATTCATATATCAAATAGTGGTGATATTTTATTTATTTATTAATATTTTATACTCCATATTAAACTAAAATATGATTTAATTATAAAGATGAAATAACTTAAGTTTTAAATAAAAGAAATACTATAATTAAGTCTATGAATTTAAATCATATTATCTCTTAAATTAAATACTTACAAAAAATAAATATGAAACATTTTCATAATAATTTTTTAGATTAATAAATAATCATTAAAATATATGTTATCAAATACATCAAGAGGACAATAATAAAATCAATTTTCAAAGACTTAAACTCAAACTCTTATTCCTCTTTCAGAATTAAATCATATAAGGGGAAAACTTAAAGGTGGTAATTTAGCTACAGAAGAACGATTACTTGATAAAATGAGAATGTATAACTTTTTTAATTTTTAGGAAGGCAAATTCAGAAGAAAGGATGAAACGTTGGCCAACTACTATAGCTGCCTATAAATAAAAAAGAGATTAACATAGATTTGAAAAATTTGCAGCAGCAGAAGAAGACAGAAGATAAATTGATATTGAAGAAGAGATTTTTTAAAAAGAACAGAAGAAAATTACATTAGAAAAAGCAAACAAATAAATTTATGAAGACAGTGATAGGGTTAAAGCCTTTCATGGAAAAATGCTTTTTTCAGATGTATTATAGGAAAGAGATGAATAAATTATAATGGAAAAATATAAGAAGGAGCTTCTTAAATAATAAGAAGAGATTTATTAATAAATTTTAGAAGAACAACTAGATGAATATGATTAAAAATAAATTGTAAAATAGAAACATCAATAATAAAAGAAAAAAGAATAAAAGGATATGTTGCATAAGTATTATTACATTATATATTAATAGATAACATGAAGAAATGAAAGAAAAATATCTAACTAAATTAAAAGAAGAGAGAATTGAAGGAGAGTTAATTAAATAAAAAGTTAAAGATGCTTTAGAAGAAGATTAAAAAATACAAAGATTAAAATAAGAAAAGATTTTAGAGAATTAAAGATTAGTTTAATTGGCAAATGATTAATTAAAAGATTTTAAAGTTTAATAAAAAATAAAAGAGAAAGAATAAGATGAAAAGATAAGATTGCATGCAGAAAAGAAATAAAGAATAGCTGAAATGAGAAAAGTTAGAGAAGATTTAAAATTTCATGAAAAATAGGAGTAGAGATAAAAACTAATTGACCGATAAATATAATAATTAGAGATAGTGAAAAAAGCATAAGAAGAACATTTGAATAAATAAATTATTGAAGCTTAAGTGAAGGCTGAAGAAGTAGAAAAAATTAAAAAGCAGAAGAAAGAGCAAATGTTTAAAGTAATAGAGTATAGTAGAAAAATTAAGGATGAAGTAAAAGAAAAAGAATCAAGATGTATTTTGTTTTATTATCAAATTAAGCTGTTGATTATCATAAAAAAGAATTTTAGACTTATTGGGAAAAAAGAGGAAAAGAATTAGAAGAAATAGAAAGAGCAGAAACTACAGCTTAAAGAGAAAGAAGAGTTTAAAATGCAAGATTTTAATAAAATTAAATAGATGAAAAGAAGGTAGTTTAACTAATATAAATGTTTTAAGGTTTAAAGAGAAAAAGAATATATTGAACAATTAGATTAACAAGAAGAGAAATAGAGAAAGATAGAGAAGGAAGATGAAATTTTTATGGTTTGGGCAAGTTAAAAGATATAAGAATAATAGAAAGAAGGAAGGAATATTTTGCCATTAATAAAAGAACTAAAAAATTTAAGCAAAGTCCAATGATTATAAACATTATTAATTATGTTTTAAACGAATTTCTATTTAAATCAAACAAGTTCTTTTTTTTTTATTATTAAATATTCTTTTTGAATAATTTATATTGAAGGAAATTGTTTTCTTTTTTTTATAGTTGAATTTATAGTTATTCTTCTTCTTTATTTAAAAAATTTAACATTTACAAAAATCAGTGCAATTTTGATTGATGCTCTAAAATTCACAATATTTTTTTTGCATTCAGATTTTTTACAATTACAACCTTTTTAGTTGCTATTTCAAAATAATAGATTAATAAATACCTTATATGATTTATAGTTATTGTCTATTATTATTAAAAAATAGGAGCAAGTGCTTCTGGATTTTTAAGAAGAGTTTCTTCAACAGCTTAAGATCTTTATTTTGATGATCAATTTTATTTTTTTATTCAGTGAAATCAGTGCAATTCCAACTTTAGAAAAAACTTAAAATATCAATGAATAAAACCCAATTATTATTTGAAAAGCATTTTCAATAGTTTTTAAGTATTTACTTTTTTTACAATTACATTAGAAATGAGAAACTTTTTAATATTAAAGTAATTGATTGAATTTGGATAAAGTATATATCAAAAAGAAGGGTAATAAAATATTAGATATAGAGGTCGATAACAGGAAGGAAGATATGATTATAAAAATTTATGTTTATATTAGTTATTTAGATGTTATTTCATTTGTTGAGATATAATTAAATAAATGGTGGATAATTACATGATTAGGGTCATCTTTCTATAATTCTAAAGTATCGACAATTGATAACTTTCTTAAAGGATATTTTGATTTATTTTTATCTTAAATTTCTTAATCAGGTAAGAAATTGAATACAGATCTTGTTATATTTTTAAGAGATAAAACTATTGAGGAGTGAATTTTGATAATAAGGTAAATTACTATTGTGGCCAATCTTAATCATAATAATGATGTTTTTTATTTTGTTTATGTTCATTGGCATTATGATTGTCCAAATTCATAATAAATTAATTAAAAATTAATAATGGCAACAATAAACAAAGAATAGGTCGACATGGATAATCCAGCATTTGCCTAACAAGATCCACATTTGAAAATAAATGACGATGAAGATATAGGTGTATCACCTTTAATGAGAAATCGTTACCCAAGAAGACCTCCACTTTTTGATGGTTTATTGAATAATGTTAGGGCTGTTACAAAAAAAGTAGAACATATCAAAGGATTTAAATTTGAAGTAGCAGGAGGATTATCAAATAATTTTCATTTAGCTCATTCTTGGTTGATTCCACCATCTGTATATTAATTATATCTAAAATTTAGAATAAAGGAAAGGCTCCTAATCCTAATCCTATGAAATAGCCTGCAGTTCCAAGTTACACTTTAGCAGCATAATATTTAGGAGGATAGCTTAGAACTCCATATGATCAACCATCATATATAATGACAGGTAGATGGGATTCTAGTGGTAAATTAGAAGCTGCCATTATCAAAAAATTAAATGAAATGTTCAATCTTAGGTATTGTGTTATAATTCTATTATTCAAATAGATTCAGTGCTTTCTATTTAGATTCTAATCCTACCAATTCATAAGTACATTTTGATTGTGACATTTCTGGAGAAGATTATGTACATTCTATCAAATTAGGAACTGGATTATATAGTTTTAACATGATGTAAACTATTGGAAAGAGATTGGTTTTAGGATATGAAATGATGACATTGGTATTTAAATTAAAATACATAAGACTGAAAGAAATATGTCTTTAATGAGTTATGCAATGAAATTCGGAATCAGTTAAAGGTAGAATTTGTTTGCCTAATATGTTGGAGCTGCTGATTAATTGATTTTAGCATATAATCATAGAGTATATATTTATTATATAATTTAGCTTTTGGACAAAGCATACTTTATGTCTGAACTTGAATATTCTAATTAGACAGGAGAATCCAAAACTATTCTTGTAATAGAATTTATTTAATCTTTTTAAGGGTTATAGATAAAAGTTTGCCATTTCAGAAGTCATCGTAACTATCAATTCTAAAATGAAGTTCAGCTCTGCTTTAACATTGTAAGGATTTGCTTATCAATTAAAATTATGTGCAATCGCAGATTACCGTAAAGATTCCTATAAGTTTGGTTATGGTATTGCAATGGGTTAAGTTTGATAACTAATTTATAAAAAATATATATTTTCAAGTTTTAGTTATACTGTTTTATATATATAACAAGAATAGTTGTTTAATATGATATCATCTTTTGCTAATATTATCCTAAAGAATTCTAATTACAAATATAATTTATTGAGTTTATTTCATTGAGATACAAGGTTTAATTTATTATTTATTTGATTAAAATTTATTGCAAAGTATATATGCAATTAGGATTTGAATGATATAATTATTATTAAATTAAAAGAATGATAAGATTATCTTAATCTAATCATTATATAATTGTGTTTGCATTATTTGCTATTATAATATCCTCCTGTGATGCAAGTAATCATTTAAGAGGACATCTTGAAGGTATATAAAATATATTAAAATTAGATCATCAAAATAAGCATTTATATTCTAGCCATAAAAGTGGAAACCCTATAACAGCCGTTATATTTGGATTCCTATGTGTTACTGGAGCATTTGCTATGTTATGGTATAATGAAAGAAGGTTTTTAATTATTACATAACAACTTTAGATAGGCTATAACAGAATACAGACTAGAAGAAGCAAAGAAATAATGTACATCAGTTAACTCAGCTGAAGTAAATCCTAATACCAATCATTAATTGATTCACACAAATGGTATTCTCTAATTCTAAATAAATTTATAGGTGAAAGCAGAACCAATGATCTTGTTGTTGATGCTGCATTTGGTTTATCTTTAAAAGATTGCATCAAATTAGTCAGAACTGTAGAAATGTATTAATGGGTTCGCAAATCTAGAGAAGAAAATAAAAGAACTGTTTATTATTATGTTTAGGAATGGAGCACAATTTTTCATGAAGATTGTGGAGAAGGACATTTTAATGATAAAACAAAATGGATTGTTGAATAAGAAACACAAGTTAACTTAAATGTTCGTATTGGTGCTTATTTAATGAGCAAATCTTTGGCTGAATAAACAAATGCTAAGGAAAGTATTCCTATGGCTAGCAATAATGCATAATCAGTTTCTAATTTCTATGGGTTAGTTAGAGGTTTTTAGAATTAGTATATTAATATAATATTGTAGTGAAGCTAATGGATAATATATATATTTCTAATAAAATAAAGGAACTGTTACCATGAATGATTTGAGAGTCTCATTTAATGCATCCAAAACTGGTCCTACTACTGTTGTTTCTCAATAATAAAATGATACATTCACACCATTTGTCATTCATGATAAATTTGAATAAACATTAGCTAGAGATGAAAATTTAGAAGACATGTAATGCTCTTGTGCTACTTGCTGTTGTTTTTGCTGTAAAGTATGTAGAGCACTTGAAAAACCTCTTACTGAAATTGATTGGATCTATGAAACTATCTTAACATAAAATTAAGTGTTTAAAAAAAAAGCAGAAGAAAATGCATGTTTCACTTTGGCATAAAGAATTGGTGGATATGTGTTAATGGTATATAATTTATTCATGTTTTATAGGGAATTGGATTTTGCTTAATATTCTCTCCTATCTCATGGTTAATATCATTGTTCCCTTTAGTTGGAAACTTTTTAGCTTCTATCACAGGATTTGTTTTCTTTTTAGTCAGCTTTATTATTTCTATTCCATTTTCACTTTTGACTATAGCCTTTGCATGGCTATTTTATCATCCTAAATATGGAATTGCATTAATTGCACTTTCTGGATTAATTGGAGCAGGAATCTATTTTTATATTAAAAGTTAGAGTTGAAATATAAATTAAATAAAATATTTCATTTATTATTATAAGTTTTATTTACGTTATTTTATAAATTATTTAATTTTATAATTCTTCGAGTTTAGAAGCAAAATTCCATTAAAAGATTATAGTTGTCAATTTAATTCAAAAAGATATAATCATTTCCTAATTGTATATAATATTTATCAATTAATTTTAATTGCAATCGAATATATATTATTTTCATTTAAATCTGATAAATTATTTTAGCTTCTAAGGTGAATTGGTTACTTAATAATTACCTTGTACACCTCTTTAAATTAAATTCTTTTAAGCGTTTTTTTCATCTGAACAATAAACTAAAATTTAATTTTAAAATTAAAACTACTTATAAAGTATTTCAATAAGATCTATTCCAGCATAATAATTCATTTTATTATTTTCAAGTCTAACCATATCTGTCACAACTCTAAATTATTTTATTACTTTTGTAACAATAACTCGATAAAAATTAATAATATTTACTGCTTCTGCAGTTGAAAGACAATAAATAATTGATATTTCTGGATTTTCTAATTCTAAATCCTAAATAAAAATATGGTTATTTTTTGGGTTATCATCTACCCAAAGAATGACATTATCGATTGATTTAGGATATGGAATTTCTTTTAATTTAATTATTAAGGGACTATTGTGATTCACCTATGTACGTTCAACCATGAAGCATGTGAATGGTTGTAATAATACTTCTTCTTCATCTGGGAATTATGAAATACTTGATATATCTTTAGCAGTAAGTAATTTTACTTCAAAAAATGTTCCTTCCGTATTTGTAAATTTATTTGCTATTTCTTCAAGTTTAGAAAGACCAGACACCTAACACCATTATAATTATTTTCCTTATTAATATTGCTCCAAGTTCTTATAATTTTTAATTCCTCTATATCCTGTACCACAAAAATAAGGACAATGTTTAAGACCAGCTAATAAAGTTTTTAAAAAAACTTTCCATTTATCATAAAACCCATTTTATAAATCAATATTAATTTATCTATAAACTAGATTACTAGTCCATATTTTAATAGCAAGAATATTTTCTATAGGACATTTTTAATATATATCTAATCCCTCCTTTTTATGAGGAATAATTTCCATACATTAAGTTATGAATTGATTCAATTATAACTGACTTGGTAAAAAATTAAGACTTTTTTGTAAATCTTTGATTCCTTAAATGGTTAAATCAGAAAGATTCATAGTTAATTAAATTCCTTTATATTCCCAATCTTAATTCACAACAATAAAAGTTGAATCTGGTTCAAAAATTTTAATTAATTAAGAATCCCAACTTTCATCTACAACTTAATTTTTGTAGATTAATAGAAAGAAATCTTCTTTTGTTTATAACCTTAACTCTTCCTTTAAGTAGCTAACTTGCAAATTTTTATCAATCATTAATTATAGTAACATATTTCGATTAGGATATTCAAAAAAAAAGGAAACGTTGTTATCCTCTTAATCGTTTGAAATCAATATTACATGTATCATATCTTCTGCTTTCATATTATAATAAGAAAGAGTTTTACCTTCTTATAATACTACTCCTTTGAATATTAAACGCTGTTCATATATCGACAGCCCCGTTCTATCTTCTATTAGTTTTTTTATTTCATCAATTGATGTGGAGAGTTCTAAAGTAACAATAATTTAGTTTTATGTCGGCATTTTTATAAATAATTACATCCCTCCTGCCAATTTTAGAAGTAAGTGAATTTTGAATTTCTCCTCAACATCTTAATTTCTTAAATATTTTATTAAATATTAGTTGTCATCAAATTATTTACCATTATAAATTAAACGCGTTTAATCTGGAGGTATTCCTTCTTTATATTGATATGCTACTTTTAAATTTATCACCTTTTAAGGATAACTATAATCAAAATCCATAACTGTCGTTTTTCCAGTATTTGTTTAAATGTGAATTGGGAGATAGTTCTTAATTTTGATAATTACCATGATGATACTATTGTTTTTTATTTACTCTTCCTTAACAGTTGAGTTATTTCTTGATAAAATATATTCATTTAAAATAAGTTCAAATTCAACATTGTAATCCTTTAAGACTTATTTTTGTATTTTACTCTTAACATCTAAAATTCTATCATTTTCTTTTATAATCAAAACTCTTTCATTTAAATTTTGAATTCCTAAATATTCTAAATTAAGTATGATTGAAATATCATTATTGATAAAGTTGTCAAATTGTTGAATTTTTGCATCTTAATAGTTTTCTTATTTAATTAATTCATTAAATTTTATTTAATTTATAAAAGGAGGAATTTCATAATCTTCATCTGATTTTTCAAATTAACTAAATGGATTCATTTTCTATTAAAAAATAAAGTTAAATTTTATAAATTATAATAATCACTATTAAATTTCTTCATTTTCATTTTCCTTTTTTTTGAATACAACAAATTACTCTAGATTTACAAAGTCTAAATCACCAAGGTCCTCACTAAAATTTGATGCATTTTTTATAATTTATAAATTTGCAAAATCTGTTATAGAGGTTGCATCATTTTAATTTAAATTTGCAATTTAAGTTTGTAATTAACTTTCAAAAATAGAGTTTGAAAAAAAGTTGCTTTTTTTATTACTAAGCTTTTCAGGACTACATGTAAACTCAGATTATTATAGATTTGATTTATCCATTTTTGATGATAATATATTTTAAGAAGATCGTAAAAGTATACTTCTAGATTTTTAATTATTCCTTTAATATTTAGATGTCAATCTAGGAATATTTTTTTATATTTCGAAATTTATCATCGTTTACATTTCTTATTCATTAATTCTATTCTAAAACCATGCATGTTTTAATGCATCATCTGGTTAAGGTCTTTATGTTGAATCCTTTTGTAATAATTATGAAACAAGATCTTTAGCTTCTTTAGAAATTTAATTAAATAAATTATCTGGAAATTAAATTTAAGCTTCCTTAATCTATTCTATCAAATCATTTAAACTAAAATATAATTTAATTTACTATTCTGATATAAATGGCAATTATCCTGATAACATTGAATATAAAATACAACCGGCACTCCACATATCAACCATTTAACTTTATATTTATATATAATATAAATATACTTGTAACCTTCTCCTGTAAATATTTCTGGAGCAGAAAAAGCGACAGTTCCAGTATATGTCCACATTTCAATTTTTTCTATCTCTTTTAAATCTCCAAATTCTTTATAAGAATCACTAAATTTACTAACATTAAAGTCAGTTACTTTAATCTAATTTTTATCTAATAAATAATAAAAAATACTTTAAACACACAAGATATTATTTGGTTTCAAATCTCTATGACAAATTCCATTTCTATGCATATATTCTATGGCACTTAATAATTATTTGAATAATTCCTTAGCAACATTTTCAGAATAATGACCTAATTCATTAATAACTTCAAACATTTCTTTTCCTTTAATTAATTCCATTACAGCATATGCTTTACTTTCAGATTAAAATCCATTGTAAAAATCTATATATAATTTATGAACTTTCACAATATTATCATGATTTAACTTTTATAGTGATTTAAATTCAATTATCATCTTAAATATAATATTAATGAAACTTACATTTCTAATAATTTCATCATCCTAAGTCTATACTATTTTAACTGCAAATTCTTCTTATGTTTTTTTATTTACAATTCTTTTAACTAATCCTAAACAACCTTCACCTAAAATTTCCATCATTTCATATTCTTCTTCAAATTTTTTAATATCAGCACAAATGCTCTATGAATCAATATCACTAAAATCAACATCTAATTTTTTGCTTAATTCATTTAGTTCTTCCAATGAATTCCTTTCATCATAAGATGGTTTTTTAATTATTAATTATAATCTGCCTATTTTCATACCAAATATTATACCTTTGAGTTATTGTTTTATCCTATTTCTATTATTCAATGCATAATTTTATTTATCTTCTAATTCACATTTGATGAATGAAAATCGACTAATTCCTTTTTTATCTGTACTAGATAATTATGATGAAAGAAGATTTTATTCTGATACAATAGATTCACAAAGTGATATTATTGGTTATTTCTCAATCATTATATGATAAAAATATTTAATTAAAATAAATGACGAAGTAATTATTGAACTATTATTTTATTTAAAAATTGATAGCAATAGTAATAGGATCAATAATCAATCTCAAAGTATTTATTTAGCAAATCAATAGATCTAAAAGTTAAAAGAGAAAAGTTAGATTTAAATTTTTATAATATATTATAAATTTCTTGGCTATGCTTAAATTTAAATATATATTAAGAACTGTTTAATTGATGATATAATAAAAAACATTTAAGAAATCAGATCTAATTCTTCATTATTTAGAACATGTAATTGGAAAAGGTTGATTGTTAAATGAAGGATTATAGTAAGATAAACAAAATATCTTGCACTTATAAATTTGATAGTTCAAATACAAGTGTTTCTTACTCAAAATCTCATAAAGCTTTCGATAAATATTGATTAAAATTATAAAATATAAGTCACAATATAATCATATAAATAATGGTTAATTCATTTATAAAGGCATATCAAAGTAGTCTTAAATCTTATTAGATTTAGTTAAGTGTTCATAAAGTTATTTAAATTCTTCTTATATATCTTAAAATCGATGAGCTTTTTGAGAAATAATTTAATCGTTTATTGGTGAATAAATTGTGAGAGGATTAAAAGGAGGACATTCTTCCAAAGTTATAAATGGATGTTATTAACTAATTTAGATATAAAAGATACCCATAACTGTCGATATAAATTCCCTCTTTTAATGGGTCGAATTGAGTACCATACTTCTTTAAAAAGTCAAGAAGAATTTATTTTTTATCATTTTGAGTGTAATGCTTACACTAATAGATTGCTGCTAACATTATTGATAAACAAAATGAGCTTATTCCACCTATCAAATATTAATATATAATTAATACCTGTATGAGCATCATTTAAATTTTTAGATTTAACTAAGTGTTTTAGAATTAACAGAATATCTCTATACCAAGCAAATCTACTAACCCAATCTTTTACAATTGTAGTCGAAGCAAAACCTAAATGAGGATTATTATATATATTGCTCCATTGATAAATCCAACTTACATCTACCTAAATGATTTTCCCTTTATGTTATTATATTATTTATACCTTAATCATTTTGATCTAAATGAAAATAGGACCAATTTTATTAAATGTGTTAATCATCGTCATAAAAACTCGATTTAGGATTTAACTCTAATTTTAGTATTGGCATATTGCTTTAAATTAATCTTAAATCATATATTATGTAAATTACTTTGATTATATTAAAAATGGAGTCTACTTTAAAGTATTATTCAATAGTTATAAGAAACTAACTATCTAGGCATAACTTAGATTTTATGAACCCCAAATTCCAACATCTACATCACTTATTTCTAAATCTAATCCAGTTTCAAAAGATCCATAAGGATACATATTAAGGTGGTAATTTGTATAGATAAGATAATTAAGTCTATTCAAACAAATTTATTTTCTAATTCTATTTTGATAACTTTTTTATTGAATAAAATTCGATAATTCATCAATATCATAAGTTTTAGATTTTACTAAATTTAATTTTTTTCTTTTAATTGGTGTTGTTTAAGTGGAATGAGGATATTATTTATCACCAACTTTTTCTCCATTATTAATGTAGTTTTTTTTCTTTAGTTTTTCTCTACTTGATAATTTTTATGCACTTGATTCAAATTGCTTATTATCATCAGATTATTACAGACAATCATCTGATTCAGATTAAGAATTTCCTGCTGTTGTACTTCTTGCTCCAATCTACAATATTTATTTTTAAACTTACATGACTAAACTAAGTATCATAGTCTGTTAAATCTTTTTTATTTTCCTATTCACAATTTTCTATCTAAGTTACATTAGACTACTTTTTTTACTTTTACTAAACTATTTACTGTTTTAATTTATGAGGCTCTTAAGGAGATAGTTAATTATGTTATTTCTCTTTTGATTGTTATGGAATTTAAGGTTACAATGCCTATTATTTTTGGGTTAATGTTTAATTTTTTGGTATTTTTAATGAGGAATCTGTTTTATTTTTTTTGTTCTTTGCTTTTTTATGAGATTTTTATTTTTATGTTGGAATTTATTAAGATGTTGGAGGTAACTAAAACGATTCTATCTCGTTTTAATCACTATTTTATAAAACTTTACTTTGTTCAGAAATTTATTCTTTCTAATTCTGTTATTAACAATTAAATTAAAGTTCTTCATTAATTATGCTCAAAGATAAACACACTAAATTCTTGATACAAGTAGTCACATCATACTCTTCATTCCTTTTTTTCGACATAGCCTTACTCTATTAATTTATACTAAACTTGATACATTCCCTTAATTAGTTCCTTCTGAATCTTTTTTACATTCAGGCTATGTTTTTTCTTTTTAATTATCTATTTAATTGTTTTTAGAGCGAAATTATTTTGTTCCTTATATCGTCTCATTATTTTTACATTCATTGATTTGTAAAGAGGCGCTTTAATTTTGCATTAAAGAAATGATTTATTATTTTATTATATTCTAAATAAGATTAATTATTATATTTATCTATTGAATTATTTTTTTTTTATAGTAATACGTTAAAAAGATAATTTAAATGAACTCTATAATAGCCCTAAAGACCTACTATATCATCTATCAATAATATATTGATTTAAGTTAGTATTAATTTTACTTACTTTCAATATATGATAATTATTACATCATATGAAATATTTTTAAATAATTAAAATCAATTAAGGCAAATATTTATAATGTATAAATAATATTATTTGATTATCCAATATTATTTCATCCTTTTTCATAAATATTCATCAAGATTTAGTTCATATGGTTTAAGATAATCTATAAAAATGTAAGAATTGTTTGTGAAAATTAAGTAAAATAAAATGTTGAATATTTTTGGTTGAAGAAATTGGAAAATTTAAATCCAAATTTGAAGTCTTTGTAAGAAAAAATGAAATAGAAATCATTAGACTTATCTATTAAAAATAAAATACTATTTGGATTGAGTGNCACAATTTTCTATCTAAGTTACATTAGACTACTTTTTTTACTTTTACTAAACTATTTACTGTTTTAATTTATGAGGCTCTTAAGGAGATAGTTAATTATGTTATTTCTCTTTTGATTGTTATGGAATTTAAGGTTACAATGCCTATTATTTTTGGGTTAATGTTTAATTTTTTGGTATTTTTAATGAGGAATCTGTTTTATTTTTTTTGTTCTTTGCTTTTTTATGAGATTTTTATTTTTATGTTGGAATTTATTAAGATGTTGGAGGTAACTAAAACGATTCTATCTCGTTTTAATCACTATTTTATAAAACTTTACTTTGTTCAGAAATTTATTCTTTCTAATTCTGTTATTAACAATTAAATTAAAGTTCTTCATTAATTATGCTCAAAGATAAACACACTAAATTCTTGATACAAGTAGTCACATCATACTCTTCATTCCTTTTTTTCGACATAGCCTTACTCTATTAATTTATACTAAACTTGATACATTCCCTTAATTAGTTCCTTCTGAATCTTTTTTACATTCAGGCTATGTTTTTTCTTTTTAATTATCTATTTAATTGTTTTTAGAGCGAAATTATTTTGTTCCTTATATCGTCTCATTATTTTTACATTCATTGATTTGTAAAGAGGCGCTTTAATTTTGCATTAAAGAAATGATTTATTATTTTATTATATTCTAAATAAGATTAATTATTATATTTATCTATTGAATTATTTTTTTTTTATAGTAATACGTTAAAAAGATAATTTAAATGAACTCTATAATAGCCCTAAAGACCTACTATATCATCTATCAATAATATATTGATTTAAGTTAGTATTAATTTTACTTACTTTCAATATATGATAATTATTACATCATATGAAATATTTTTAAATAATTAAAATCAATTAAGGCAAATATTTATAATGTATAAATAATATTATTTGATTATCCAATATTATTTCATCCTTTTTCATAAATATTCATCAAGATTTAGTTCATATGGTTTAAGATAATCTATAAAAATGTAAGAATTGTTTGTGAAAATTAAGTAAAATAAAATGTTGAATATTTTTGGTTGAAGAAATTGGAAAATTTAAATCCAAATTTGAAGTCTTTGTAAGAAAAAATGAAATAGAAATCATTAGACTTATCTATTAAAAATAAAATACTATTTGGATTGAGTGTAAAAAATAGAAATATGCTTTAATATTTAAGATTTGGCTTAAAAATCTAAATTAACTGCCCTAAGTTTCATTCAATAATTTAATATGTGATGTTTCCCTTTTATAAATATTTTTGTCAAAATTTTTTTTCTTATATAAATTATTTATAGTTTTAAAATAATGATTTATTAATTGATTTAATCAAATAAGAATTAAAACTGATGAATTCAAACCATTTATTTCTATTTTTAAGTCTTACAGTGTTCAATAAGATTTGAAAAAGTGTTATATTGATTTAAATACTAAATTTAAAAAAAAAATACGCTGGAAATAATTTTTAAACAAGCAAGATCAATAACAAAGTAATAAAGACTTTAGAAATAATATATATTTACCTTGTTTATTTATTTTTTCCTTATTTGTGAAAATATTAATAAAAGTTTTTAACATGAAGGACATTCCTTAATTTTAAAATAACATTAATCAAGTTATCTTTCACTAATTAATAAAGAAGACTATTTCATTAAATTTGATTGGTGATAATTTAAATATAAAATACGTAAGTTTAATATCCGTTTAATAACATAATAATCATAAATGTCATTAATTATAATATTAATCGAAAAATGTTTAGATTATTTGATTCGAATTATCAATAGATGAATCAAATTATTGAAGAAAGTGGGAATGTTCTTTGGCTAGGTGATTTTACTGCTGCATTGGATAGAACTCTTCTTGATTCAAAAGGTATTAAGACTGTGTTAACAGTTGCAACTGGTTTAGATATTTCGTATAGAGAAGCTGGAATAAATCATAAAGTAGTTTATAAAATCAAAGATAGGTTTATCATATTCTAGATTCCGAAACTGCAAATATTGGTAGATTATTTTAAGACACCAATACTTAAATAATTGAAGGTTTGAAAAAAGGGTCAGTTTTAGTACATTGTGCTGCTGGTGTTTCTAGATCTGCCTCTGTTGTTATAGCATATTTAATGAAGACTAAAGGATTAGGCTTTTCAGAGGCTTTTAATTTTGTAAAGAAGAAAAGAAGTGTTATTTAACCTAATTATGGATTCATTAAATAATTAAGAAACTATGAAAAGGAAGTAAAGATAGTAAAAAAAGAACCACTTTAACTTAAAATAAGTGAAAATCCATAAGATGGAAAGGGTTGGTAAATAATGAAAGCATCAGAGAAAAAGATAGCAGATTTAAATATAGTGGGCTAATAAGCTGTATAATTAAGATAACCAAGTAAATTAGTTTAACCAAAAATAACATCTTCAAATTCTACAAGAGCTAATTCTACTCTAAATTAAAAAAAATTGTTTGAACCATAGAAAACTTATCAGGGACCTTAAATTGTGACCTATGCGAAAAATAATAAATTAGTTATCAAGAATCATTTTGCTATGCCTGAAATTAAATAAAAAAATCACAAGTGAAAAATAATACTTATTTATTACATTTAATCAATATTTAGAAAATCAAATTTTTTTTCATAATTATCAATTGGATCATTAAATTTTGAAAATCTTTTTGCATTATTCATATCTTTTCATCTATCATATATTGTTATTTTATCTTTAAATTAAATTTAATTCAGAAACTTTTATTCAATTCATTAAAAATTTTGATTTAAGTAGTAAATAAGATTAATTGAAATTTATTATGATTTTCTTGATTATCCAAAAATATATTAACCTTTCAATTTATAAACATACTGATTAGATATCATTTCATATTAGGATTAAAAATTTACAATATTTAATTCTTTATTAGTAAATAATATTAATAGACTTAAAAAATATTATTCAAATAATGAACATTTAGTTTAATAGATTAATTACTTTGTGATAATAGAAGCAATCATTATTAAATGCTTTATTTATAAAATAACTTTACAACCTAAGAGATTTGGCCGGTTTAAATATGTAAAATACATTAGCAAATTTTTGTACCATTTCATTATCAATTTCAATAACCTTCTATTATTTTTCTCCCTTTATTTTGCATTAACTCTTGTTCCCGCTAAATCCTCTTAATTTATTAGGGAACATTGGTGAGTGGCCAACCTTTAATTGGAATTAAAACAAAATTTTAAGATGTTCTAAAGTTAAATTAAAGTTATGAACCGAACTTGTAAGCCAATTATTCAATCAAAATTACTCAATTTACAATTTTGAATTATATCGATAATGCTTTCTCAAATTTAATTTATTATGATAATCCTTTATTGTTGGAAATTGTTAATTATATTAGTTTAAACATTAATGATTACTAATAATTTTAAAAAATTATTTATGCTATTACAAATTATTAATGAATGTTTATAATAAAGAAGCATTATTATAATATAATTGATGAAGAGCTTTTTGGTTTTTAATTTTCATTCAAATTTAATTACAATTCTATTTTTAAATTCAGTTGATAAACAACTTATAAATTAAAATTAAATGGATAGAAAGAAGTTATTATTTGAAAGCAATTTGAAAAATAATTGTTAAGATCTCATTGTTGGGATAAGGGAAACTAAAGCTAAAGTCAATGAAATTCGTTCTAGATGTGATTCAATAAAAAGAGGAAGTTCAAAGTATTTGATATCATCATGATTAGATAACCATATGAAGCAAACAATAAGTCCTATGAAATTTCGACTAAAACAAGTGGAAGTTTTATTATTACAAGAGACAATGATGTGTCTCATCTAAAAAAGAAAATTGATGATTTACAATTTAGAATTGATTCATAAGATGCAAAACTTAAGGCAAGAGAGAAAGAAATTATATATTAGCAATCTCAAATAAAATAATTCGTTTTAGAAATTAATGAGATCTAAATAATAGAAGATAATTATAAAGAAGAAATATCAGTTTTGAATAAAGAATTATCATAATGGAAAGAAAAATACTTTGCAAATCTCAAGGAATATCAATTTAGATAAGCTCAATTATCTCGATAGTCTTAATAAGAACAGAGTATAATGAGAAAGAAGTATGAAGAAATAATATAATAATAATAAAAAGAAATAGAATCTATTGAAATTAGATTTGATAATGAGAGAGAAAATTTATATAAAGCACTTGATTTATAAAATATGACTATTTAGAAAAACAATGAACTAAATGTAAAAAATAAATACTATATAAGGAATTAATGAACAAATTAGAAGAAAGGGAAACTGAAACAAAACAATTAAAAGAAAAAATTTAACTATTGGAATCTAATAAGGATGAATTAAAATTACATCTACAACAATCGTCTTCTAAACTGAATGAATAAATCAATAAAAATGCTTATGTATATATTTATATTTACTAAATTAGATAGAATAATAAAAGATTCAAGAAATTTAAAATCTGCAACTACAAATATAAGCAAAAGAAAAACAAATCAATAATTTGTAGAATTAAATTGTAGAATCTAGAAATAAGACTAGTTAATAAGATAAAGAAAAATTACTACAATTAGAAAATCTTAATAATTAACTTGTTTAAGAGAAAAGCTTACTTGATGATGAGGTAGCCAAATTAAAATAATTAGCGAAAGATTCTTAAAAAATCCCTTCATTAGAAAAGGAAAATGAAAATCTATAGATGATTATATAATAATAGAAACAGCAGATGCATGATTAAAAATAATAAATTAAGATATTTTCTGAAGAAATTAATTCATTAAAAGTGTAAAATTAGAATAAACTTAACACAACATAACTTGAATAAGATATAAAATATTATGCAAGATTATTAAGTGAATTGTAGGAAGAAAATGCAAAATTTTAGAATTAGGAAGAAGAACTTACTGAAGAACTTATAATTTTGAAGAAAAATAATTAAGAATTATAATAATAATAAGAAGAACTATTCAAAAATCTTGAAAACAAGAACTAAATAATAAAACAATTAGAAGAAGAAATCGATTAATTAAGATAAAATAAATAAATATTTTAAAATTAAAATTACTAACTAAATAAATTAGAATTAAGTAACTAAGAACTAACCAAATAAATAGAAAAACTACATTTGATTAATAAAGAAAAGGATGCGGAAATACTTTACTAATAGGAATTATTATTAAAATAGAATTAAGATTCAAAAAATTTTGATTAAATAATAACATAGTAAAAAACAGAAAATAAAGAGTATTAAATACAAAATAATTAATTAAAAAATGAATTATCAAATTTATAAACATAAAATTAAGAGATTGTGGAAGAACTGCAAAAATCTTAGGATGAGGTTGAATAATTGACTAAGATACATGAAGAGAATTTAATTAAAATTAATGCTTTAGAAAAAGAAAAATATTAAATAAAAAGCAACTTTGAGCATCATTTAAAAGAAATTTAAAAGAAAGATGCTGAAAAGCTATCTAACTTTACTCAATTAGAAAATGAAAATGCAAAACTCTATTAATAGAGAAATAAATTATAAGAAAGAATAGGAGAACTAGAAGAATCAGCCAATGAGTAATTAATTGAAATAAAAAATATAAAAGATTAAAATGAAGAATTAATTAGTCATTTGAAAATATCATAATAAAAATTAGATAGTTTAAATACTCACTTCAAAAATTTTAATGATTAAGTATAAAATCTAAATTTCAAATGTTAAGAGTATTAAAATAATATAAATGAATAAGGTAAATTAATCGCTTTGTTATAATCATAAAATGAAATTTTAGAGTATAAAAATTAATAACTAAATAAAGATATTGAATCTGTAAAAATCAATAGTAAATAACTTAATGATTTTTATTCGTCTAAAATTTAAGAATAATTAGAAAGAATCTAAGAATTAGAATAGATTTTGGAATCATAAGAAGAAGGCTTTGATTAACAAGGATTAATTATTGAAAATGATTTGTTAAAGTAAAAAAATTTGGATTTAGAAAATTAACTCAATTCATAAATTAATGAAGATGCTGATGAAATAGACAAATTAGAATAAGAAATTTTTCATTAGAAACAAAATAACGAGTAATTAAAAATTATGATGGAAGAAATGTTAATTATAAAAGATGATTATGCAAAAAGAGCTTAAGAAAAAGATGAAGAAATAAATAAATTGAAATAAGTGTCATTTGAATTGAAAGAATAATTAGATGAATCCAAAAAATAGATAGAAGATCTATATAATTATTAAAAGGAGTTGACTATTGATTTAAGAGATAAATAAAAAATTATTTAAAGTTTAGAATTAACAATAAATAATGATTAAATTAACATTCAAGAATAGTAAATACCATAGAACGAATAAATAATGTATGATAGTTATTAGCTTAAATTTTAAATAAAATTATTGAAAGAAGAAATAGAAGATTAAAAATTAAAAATACAATAATTAGAATAAAAAAATATAAATTATGAAGCACATCAATAAAAAGAAAAATATGAGAACTAAATTTAAAAAATTTAATTAATATCTCAGAAAGAAACTGATAATTCAATCAAAGCACCATTTAATGAAATATATAGTGGAAATTTAAGTAAAAGTGCACATCGATAGGTTGATGAAGTTGAAAATCATTAAGAAGAAGAATATTCATAATCATTTGAAGATTTTTAAGAAGATCTTAATGATAACAGCGGAGATGAATAAGAAAAAGCGCAAGAGACTTAAATAAATAGAATTTTAAAAAAAGAGGTCGACCAAAAAGAGGAGGATAATCAACACAAAAACTAAGAAATTCTTGAATTATAAAATACATAAAAAGAAGACGAAAACTAGGATTTAAAATAAAATAAATAATAAAATTAAACAAATGATTTACTTGAACTTTAAGAACCAGAAATTAAAATAGTTTAAATAGTTGAACAACCATAAATTGAATTAGATAATTAATAAGATAATGAAGAAATATTTGAATTAAGAAATGAATAACAAGAAGACGAAAACTAGGATTAAAAATAAAATAATTAATAAAATGAAACAGATAATTTACTTGAACTTTAAGAACCAGAAATTAAAATAGTTTAAATAGTTGAACAACCATAAATTGAATTAGATAATTAATAAGATAATGAAGAAATATTTGAATTAAGAAATGAATAACAAGAAGACGAAAACTAGGATTAAAAATAAAATAATTAATAAAATGAAACAGATAATTTACTTGAACTTTAAGAACCAGAAATTAAAATAGTTTAAATAGTTGAACAACCATAAATTGAATTAGATAATTAATAAGATAATGAAGAAATATTTGAATTAAGAAATGAATAACAAGAAGACGAAAACTAGGATTAAAAATAAAATAATTAATAAAATGAAACAGATAATTTACTTGAACTTTAAGAACCAGAAATTAAAATAGTTTAAATAGTTGAACAACCATAAATTGAATTAGATAATTAATAAGATAATGAAGAAATATTTGAATTAAGAAATGAATAACAAGAAGACGAAAACTAGGATTAAAAATAAAATAATTAATAAAATGAAACAGATAATTTACTTGAACTTTAAGAACCAGAAATTAAAATAGTTTAAATAGTTGAACAACCATAAATTGAATTAGATAATTAATAAGATAATGAAGAAATATTTGAATTAAGAAATGAATAACAAGAAGACGAAAACTAGGATTAAAAATAAAATAATTAATAAAATGAAACAGATAATTTACTTGAACTTTAAGAACCAGAAATTAAAATAGTTTAAATAGTTGAACAACCATAAATTGAATTAGATAATTAATAAGATAATGAAGAAATATTTGAATTAAGAAATGAATAACAAGAAGACGAAAACTAGGATTAAAAATAAAATAATTAATAAAATGAAACAGATAATTTACTTGAACTTTAAGAACCAGAAATTAAAATAGTTTAAATAGTTGAACAACCATAAATTGAATTAGATAATTAATAAGATAATGAAGAAATATTTGAATTAAGAAATGAATAACAAGAAGACGAAAACTAGGATTAAAAATAAAATAATTAATAAAATGAAACAGATAATTTACTGGAACTTTAAGAACCAGAAATTAAAATAGTTTAAATAGTTGAACAACCATAAATTGAATTGGATAATTAATAAGATAATGAAGAAATGTTTGAATTAAGAAATGAATAACAAGAAGACGAAAACTAAGATTTAATATAAAATAAATAATAAAATTAAACAGATGATTTACTGGAACTTTAAGAACCAGAAATTAAAATAGTTTAAATAGTTGAACAACCATAAATTGAATTAGATAATTAATAAGATTATGAAGAAATATTTGAATTTGGAACTGTAGCAGACGAAGATAAAATAATTAATAATCCTTAAAAAAATACAAAAAACAATAATACTTTGTAAATTGAAAATCTCAACTTAAAATAAAATAGTTTGAAAGACTTATTTTAAAATGATCCTTAGAATTTATTCGATCTTTCATAGCCTTAAGTAAATATAATTTAAGTTGACAACATGAATAAACATACTTTTGAATAACAAGAATTTTAAGTACCAATTTAGTAAATAGAAGAAGAAGTTTTAATAGAACTTCATTAAAAGCCCCAAGAATTTGAAGGGTAATTTTTAGAAGTTGATGAATAGAATAATTCATATATTGAATGATTTATAATTATGAAAACATAAACACAGTAAGTTAGTTAAATAAAATATGATTTTCAATCTTATTCAAAATCTAATTTTAAAGGAGAGAGGGAATTACAATTTTTTTCTGATCCACTTAGAGAAGTTGTTTACTTAAATGAGAAACGTAATGAAACTTTCCTACTTTTTCTTTTTTTTAACTTATCTTTCAGTTTTTGATTAGCCTTCAAAAAGCGCCTTTATTATAAGTGTTCTTCAAATGTTTTAGGTACTTTTATTTTTTCTTGCAAGGCATCTAAATTTTTTAATTAGATTTCAGTCATTAACTCATCAAGTTCTTATTAAATTGCTAAGATGGTTTGATCTTTTAATTATATTTACTTTTCAAGTTGAGAGATCTTTTTTCTAAATTACTATCTATCCATTAAAGACATTAAGGCCTCAGTTTCTCTCTCTTGATCATCATCCTCATTCTCCTCCTAAATAATTTTTTCCAATTAGAATTTTTAATTAGATACTGATACTTATTATATGTGCAAATTTTACTTTCTTATGGGCTTTTAGAGCTTGAGACTGAATTCATATGTTTAAGTTAAATACCCTAAGAAGAAGTCTATTGATTTCTTCTAAAATGTTTTTCACCATGGGCTTCAATAAATTGAACTGCTTCTTCATATGCAGATTTAATCATTTGTTTTCTTTATTAAGCTTCTTTGATCATTTTAGCTCCTTCATCTCTGAATTAATTTAAATAGATGAGTTTAAAATGTTTTTTGGATAGTACATAAAATTCACATTTTTTGGTAGTCATAATTGTGTATTTTCTTTTTTCTCCATAAAACAAGATATCGATTTCACCAAAGTAAGATCCCGGTTTGATCATTAAGAATTTAAAATTATCATTATCTGGGATTACTAATGCTAATTTTCCACTCTTAACGAAATAAACTTCTTCTGCATTATCTCCAGTCATAAATAGATATTCATGAGCTCCTACTTTAAGGGGAGTTAAAACAGGTCCGATTGCAGCAATAAAAGTTGGTGCCTTATCTTAGAAATATTTAATTTCTTCTTATAATTATTTATTCATAATGAATGCTAATTCAATCCTCAATTATGGTGGCAAGTCTTCTAAAAGTGTATTATAATTGAGTAATAAATTTTTTTTACCTGATTTCAATTCTTTTTTTACTTTTTAAAAGATTGCATTAGAAATATGGAATTCTTTTTTAATATTTTTTAAAGTGGAAAGTCGATTTACATATATAGAATTTGCATGATCTAACCTATCTAAAAATGATGCTAAAGAACCAACTGCAAATGAAAATATGTACACAGAGACTAGCATCCAAAAGATAGCAAATAAAAATGATGGCCATTTATAAACTTTAACATCACCATATCCAACTGTTAATATAGTTTGTACTGCCCAATATAATGAAACAATGTATTGATCATATCCAGAAATAAAATTATATTCCCAATCAGGATCTTCAGATAAGGAGGCTATGAAAAACCATATACATCCTGTCACATGACAACTGAATGCTAGTAAAATAAATGCATATAGAAATCTTTCACTTCCAATATTTATGTTAATCACTTTTATGTATTCAACGTCTTTCAATTAAATCATCCTGAATATTTTTACCATTTTTATAACTCTGTATATTTTAGGCAGTTTCGATAATCTGGCAATATTGCTAGATTTATCCTAATCTTGGAAGATGAATTGGAATGGAAAACAAGACTATGAATTATCTTTCAAAATATACTATAAGATCTACAGCAAACCATCCTTTTAAATAGTTTATTGCTATTTATTTTGGATCCTTTACTAAATTATTCTCTTCATCATAATAAGAACTTAAAAAAGTGAAAATCATATCTGCCATAAATAGAAAATCCACTGAATTATCAAAACCATCCCAACCAGGGAAATCGCCATCTTCTATAAAAGCCATCTTATATGGTGTAAATATGCAAACATATCTAATAAATCGTATAATGATACATTAATACTATAAAAATTACTGCATCCCAAGTTTATTTTAATCTACTCGATTGGGTTATGATTAGTGAGAAGTTAAGTGGCTATGGTAATTCAATATCTTTTAGACGAGACAATCTTCTAATCTTTGTTGGTTTTATGTCGCTGCTAACCATTCCCACATCCTCCTCTCCGCTCCCTTCTTTTGATCCTTACTTAGATCCAAGAACTTTTTAAAAACATTCATTAGAATCATTTTATATCAATGCCACACTTGCCATTGATACTCGCTTCGTTTCTATTGGATGTGAATAATGAACAGAGGGTTCATCTAACTATTAAAGATTTATAGATTAGCTTCTTTTTCTAAACAATCATAAATCTTCTTTACTTACTGAGTTATTATTTGGCAAAGATTGATTTCTCTGCCAAATTTCTTAAAGACGTATTATTTCTTTACATCATTGACTTTTTATCAATTGGAGAACCCAAGGATCTTTGCATTAAAATTAATATACAATATATTATTATATTCAAAAATGGGAAATTAATAAGACAAACCACAAGACAAACAATAACAACAATAAATACAGTAATAATAATAATCCAAAAAGCCTAATGAATTACAAAATCTATTTCATATTGCTTACTCAAAGACTTTTAACAATTTGTAACAAGAAAGCAGAATCAATATTTCGTAAATTCCTATAGAAAATCAATAATTATCTCTATTGTTTAAATAGTTTGTCATATCGATATTCAACACTGATA